GGTAGCGACACGACAAGACGGCGTTCGTGTACCTACTATCAATGTTAATGTTGGACTATCATTATTGGCGCTTTCATTCCTTGCAGAATCGATCATTCTGAGAAGCTATTCTTCACTCATTGGCAGTCTCTGTGGCTATGCGGAGAAACTGACCCCTTTTTATTACTTATTAGCTGCTTACATTGTAGTTACTATAGTTATGGTGATATCGATAACTAAATATATATATATATTTTTTAGAATAATTAGATCATCGAACATATTTTAATTCTTATTGTAATGTTGAAGACAATAAATTAGATCAAATATAATTTATCATTAATTATTAAAATTAATAAAAGATTTTATTTGAGTAAGAATTCTAAATTTTTTTAAACAAAACATTCAACATAGTGTGTAAAATAATTATGTGCATAATAATTTGGTTGGCGCAATTTACTTTTTCTGATGATTTCAAGTAAAGATGGTGCAATTATTCAAAATAATGCGCACGCTCGTTATTTAGCGAAGCAAATTTGCTAATTAATTTATCTATCAAAGATGAAAGTCAATCTTATCTGAACATATGGTGTCTTTTCCTTGAAAATCACCTTACGACATTTTCCGGTCAGGCTAATTCACATTTTGACTTATTGATTCAATGAAATGTCATAAGGTGATTTTCAAGGCAAAGACCCCATATATCGATTTCTATGTGGTAAAATTGTGCTATGAGTGATGAGCATAACAAAGCAACATTACGAAAATTGGATTTGAGGACATGTGATTTAGGCAAAATTTTTATGAGTAGAAATGCAGCGAAATGAATTTCATCAATAGTGATGTTATTTTAACACAATTTTTGTCAGCATCTTTAGTGATCCTCACCTGTCTTGAATTTTGAGTAATCTAATAGGATTGGAACCGCCTAAGGTTTTTCTAATCGTTTAACCGTGTTAACCGTTTAATTCAGCCTAACTCTAGTCCATGATCAGCATAACTAAGCCCGGAATTATGGAACAATTTTAAATGGTTAATCTTTAATGCTAAAAACTACCGGATAATTTAGTATGTGTGAATTATTATCGTTATGTAAGTTTATTTTTCTCTAATTCTTCAACTTCAACAATAATTTGTTATTTATGGTCATTCTTAAAGTATGAGGTAATATAATAAACGAAACAAGAGATTCAATTAAAATCAAAAGGTTTTATTTGTTTTCTTAGAATGATGATATTGGAAATTTACCGTTAAAAATCGAGATCTGCGATTATGTGTTTAATATCGGGACTTTGCCTCACGCCTTCGTCCGCTGCTGCTTCCTCTGCGCCTTCTTTCGCTGCTGCCTCCTCTGACGCATCATCTCTAATTTTACCTTCACAAGAGGTTGTTAACCTTACAACCACAATGTTTCCACCCTCTCCATTGTACACTTGCCATCATTACATATTCATTTACGAAAGCTACCGTAAATGAAAGAGCGACCCAAGATTATCCCTTAAACCGTCTCATTTTAGCGTTCAAAATATAAACAATTTGATGAAAATAGAGCATTGTAAAAATTTATTCTGACAAATTTTTCTTCTAATTGGCTACAAAGACTCCCAGAGGATCGAGCCACATGATACTCACCATAAGCTATAAAATATGTTGTGTGTGGTCTGAACTTTTGAACCACCATATCTTCCTAGCGTTATCTCCAAAATTAGTTCTGTAAAGTTGGTTATAAAAGAACCTGCACGTGACAATCGTGAAGGATCCTCATAGTTTTTAATATATATATCTGATATTAAAATTGACCGTAATGCTTAAATTACGATCAACCCTGTATGGTTGTATTATTAAGGAGGCTTCACAAAAACTATATCGTATAGCAACCGGAATGTGGTGCACCTTTATTTTAGCTTAGAGAATAGGGCGGGTGGCTTAATAAAATTTGGAGCAATTGAACAAAAATAAGTCGAAAAAATTCTAGCGTCCATATTTGAACGCTTGACGGTTTAAAGGATAGAATTATTAAACATTGCTTTTTAAATCTTAAATACAAAGAAATTTCATATCCTTGATAATACGTACTTTTAGTCAAATAATTTAATGCTTAAAAAATAACCTTTTTGTTGTTAAATGATACTTATATTCGATTTTGAACTTTGATGATCGAGAAAACACCCTATTAAAGAATCGGCAATGTCAATTCTTGTGGCTATGTTTATGAAGTAAAGTACGTTTTTAAAAACAAGACTTGAAAGCCTAAAGTTAAAAATAATCATTTATGGCTTAGTAATGTTTGAGAGGCTTTTGGCGGTTTCTCTCACAATACATAAAGAAAATAAAATAAAATATAATTTATAAAGATCAAATTCTTGTCATAATCACCAAAATTTTGAAATTCTTCAAAACTTCCTAACATAACGTAACGATAATGATATCGAAACATATGATTTTGAAAATTCTCAACATTTGTATTATTTCATTCACTTGTTTAACATACTTTATATCCGCATGGCCATCTGGAGCAGGAGTCTGTGACGTGGATAAAATGAAACATAGTCCACACGGCGCTTATGCAGTATCAGGTACCGGGGAATTTTCTATCAATACAACGAAATCAACAAGTCCAAAGATTAAAATTTCCATTAATGGACCAAAAAGTGCCAAAGGTCTTTTAATATATGTTCAAAATGATAGCGGAGAACATTTTGGAAAATTTGAAAATACAAATGATTTATTCAGTTTTAAGGATTGTGATGAGCAAAACCAACACAGTACTTTAACTCATAACTCTGCAGTTGAAAAACAACTTCCGTTTGACTTCGAATGGTCACCTGAAAATGATAAAGCAAACGGTACTGTTCAGGCTATCGTATTGGTGTCTTTTTCCGAGTGGTATAAATTGGATGAACAGTCTATCAGTTCTTAGATGATTATGTATTCTCAAGAATTCAATTATAGAAATGTTTTATTATGATTCTTTATTAAACAAATAGATTCGTTTATTTTTAACACGAACTTACAATATTTATAGCGATTTAAACATTGTCAATTGCTATCAATTTAATAAACAGTAAATAATGATTCCTGCACAGTTGATGTCTTTACTCTAGAAGAGATGGTGAAACACTTTTTATCTTTTAAAAAAAATAATAATTTAGAATGATGCATTCCACGATGGAGTTATAATCATCTAACGCTTATAATTATCGTTATTAAGATGCGATTATTCAAGAAACTTTTTTTTATTGTACAATTTTAAATGCTTTAGATTTCTCATATATACGTTCAAGCATCTATTTAAAGGTAAAAACCAGGAGTTCGAAAAAAGATTTTAACTCATCTCTCTCAATGAATACCTCTTTCAATGAATTCGATTAAAGAATCTGATTTGACAGTTTAATCAGACAGTTGAGTCAATATCTTAAATGTAACGATCTCGGTGAAATATAAATACCCGAGCCTTAATAAATATTATTGGTCAATTTTGTTATACAAATCTTTTATTATTTTATTATTAAAAAAGTAACAGAAATATGAAAAACAAAAGGAAATGTAATAATGATCTGTCTATGGTGGCGGAATAAGTGGGGAATGCCTCAGCTCAGGGTATATTCCTTCGGGTATACCCAAATATTTTCCTGTATTCCAAATATAAATAATATTACGGATTAATATATTACAATTCATTAATAAAATCATGAATTTTCCGAAATCGTAACTCGTAAACAAGTATATCAGATATCACATCTGACGTTTTTTGTTAATACGTAGTACCTATCCGTGTAATACAGTATCTTATTAAGGTCTATGATTAACAAGAAAAATCTCACACAAACTAAAATATACTCGATATTGGACAAGATATTGTAATACGTACTATGATTGTCCCGGGATTTACATATCTATCCGCGCGAGCCGGTCGGTAAAAATAATTTTACCAGACTTTTACAAGTCCTTAGGATGATCTATGCTTCTACTGGTGCACATAATTTTAGTATTATGTAATCGGCTTTTTTTCTTGTAACATTTTTATTATTATAATTGGTATAGCGATAATAGAATGGGAAACCGGAAATTTCCGGTAATAAAAACATCCTTTGATCAAATCAAAAAAAATTATGAATTATTTTGATATGTCGATACATATCTAGCTTTTTAAGAATAAGTCTTATGACGAACAAATTTTTTTTTTTTTTTTAAGAAATAAAGAAGGAATTTTCAATCTTTTTTGTATGCAATTATCTTGTACGTAATGACATCAACTGTATAAAGTCGGATTAAAAAGAATATTTTTTTGCCATATCAATGATAAGCTGTAGAACGTATTTTCAGCTATTGACAAAAGTATCAAATAGACATCTTGGAGATAAATAAAATTTCTTAAAGGAATTTCAGAAAATAATTATAAAAGTTTCACAATATCAATATTTTTCAATTCATTCACAAAAAAAAACGGTAGAAAAGATATATTTTCTAATAATTTCATATTTAGAATATTTTAACAATACCTGTTACAAATTCACAGGATTTCAATATCGTTTTGAACGTTTTTTTCAAACAGATACACAACCTTTGTCGTTTCAATTGCCATTAAATGATTTTCATGCATACTCGGCCAATAATCTGGTCCTATTATTCATGTAAATAAGTGAGAAAGTTTTTATCGCTTCAGAATGAATAATTAGTAAATAAACTCTACTTGGTATGATGATCGTAACACACCCAATTTTTGATTATTTTTTTTTCACCGCCAAACAGTCGAGTTTTAGTTTTGAAGCCAGTTATTATCCTATTTTTCAAAATAATGGCGTAATAACCCCATATATCTTGTGTACCTTATACTTGAATCCAATCCTATTTATTAACATTGCTCCAGTAGGTTCTCAATACAATTAAATTTGGATTAGCTGCTCATAAGGTTGAACGCAGTAATTAATATGCTATTGAACTAAATACAACCTGAAACATAATATTAAATTCACAATGTATGTACTTACGTACGTTCATTGAACACCAATAAGAATGATTAAAGTTGAGCATATATGAAAAAAATCGGTTAGTGTTACTCGTATCCCTATTGCTATTGCTATAAATAAAATATAGCACAACACTATTCCTTAATTATTTGATGCAAATCATGAATTACTGATCGCGTTACCATCTTTCCGGTTGCACAACCAAGGTAACAATTAAGTTAGGATCAACGATAAAATTCTCAAGGTATGAAAGCGCCAATAATGATAGTCCAACATTAACATTGATAGTAGGTACACGAACGCCGTCTTGTCGTGTCGCTACC